GCAATGGAAAGCAGAGGCAAGGAAAGCAAGGCCGAATCCAATGTAATGTCGTAGTCAGCAGCGAGAACAGTCGGGCCGATGATGCCGGCCGAATTTGCTAGAATAGTGCGCGGTCACGTGTGAACTCTCCGCCTTCATTTCAGCCGTCCGTCGCGTCTCCTCATCGTTTACAGACTGGTTTTGAGGGTTTTCCCGTTTGGAACCACCAACCGCTCGAGGATGACATGCATATCATCAAGAGCACTGGTACATACAGCTCAAATGCCGATCACATCCTTTTATTACCCTGGACCAGAAACCTTCTGATGCGTTGGTGTAGCCAGATTTCATAGGACCTGCTCGCGGCGACTTTCTTTCGGCCGCCTTGCGATTGATTTGGAGCTCCGCTATCGGTCGGATCGGTCCGATGCACGTGGACCAGCCCTCCAATGACTCAACTCTCCGCTTCCTCCTTCTTCAAACACTCACCACCGCTCAACTCATTCCGTCTTTTCAGACGCAACATGCTCACCGTCACCTTTGTGGGCTGGCACACCGGCCATTCATTCCTCGAGGCTAACGGAGGCTTAGATTAGACACGGGCAGTCGGAGGACAACGTTGTATGTTCTCCTTCCACGAACGACGTCTTCTTCTTTAACGGTCGAACTAGAAATCCATCTGGGCAGGCTGGAAAGACGCGCCACTAACGGAACTCGGTGAATACGCCGACTCTGTGACCCCTAACCGCCGCTGAGTTTCGTATGAATAGGTTTCAAGGCGAGCAAATTATTGTTGGTCTTGTGGTGAGCCTCAATCAAATTCGTCCAGCAAGCGGCCGCCCTCGGAGAAGCATTCGCAAAGTCCAACACCAAGATCGACTTCATCTACGCGTCCGATCTCCTCCGCGCGCACGCGACGGGGCAGGCCGTGTTAAACAACCACGCGTCCCCCAAACCGCCCTTCACGTCCGACAAACGTCTGCGGGAGCAGAACTTTGGTGTGGCAGAAGGCAACCCCTGGACACTCGAGGCGCCGCCCAACAAGACCCTCGATGAGCTGATCAAGGAGGGAATATTCCCCGTTCTTAACAAACGAGACGTCGGGTTTCCGGAGGGAGAGTCGCTAGATGACTTAGCGCGCCGTGCAGAGGCGGCCATTGCCGACTGCGTCGTCCCGCACCTGACGGCAGAGGGCGACGTCCATGTCGCGATCGCGAGCCACGGCCTTTGCATCAGTGAGCTCGTCGCCGCGCTCTTGCGTCTCGACCCGGATTCGCGGCGCGATATCTCCTACGCGGGTCTGTTGAACACGGCCTGGACGCGCGCCGTCGTTTCGCTCAAAGTACAAAACCCAACCACTGCTTTATCCTCGATAGTTATTCACCCGGCGATAGGACGCGTCGACCACTGCTGGCAACCCTCCGCCTCTGACCGTCCAAATCACGGACGTGAACAACGCCGAGCATCTCGTATCCCTTCAGCTTGAAGTTCAATTTCCTCTTCTCCGTCTCGTCGACTTAGTACTGACTCTTTATATTCAGGGAATCGAAGACCCCGCAGCTATCGAGGAAGATAAAGCAGCAGCTCGAGCATTCTTTGCAGGAAAGTCGATGGTCTGAGATCGCTAGACTGCTAGATTTTAGATGTGAACGAAAACATGTTGAATAATTCGGTGAGGGGACTGGTTGAGGTTTCAAGTTTAAATTGACGCCTCACGTTGCTGTTCAGATGTGTTTAGATTCGATGTGTTTGCTACTTATATACGCCTAAACAAGTGCCCAAATATATGAGTTGAACCAAAGTTGAACTCTAGACTCCCACGGCGACTTGCCGTGAATCCATCCCCTTGACGTCGCGGAATTCCGTGGCCCATCCCGGCCCGGGACGATCTCACACTTTGTCCTTCCCCACACCGTCCCACTCGATGCTTTCGCTACCAGATATCACCCCAGTCTCCGTCCTCTCGGGGCTCCTTGGTCTATGGGCTCTGCGCCGCCTCATCGCTGCTGTCAAGATGCTGAGCGTACGTAAAGTCCAAAGTTGGAAGTCTTGGTGCAACGACGAATACCTACCTACATCCAGACACCCACCTTCTTCCCCAAAGTACACACCGCATTCGACCCCATGGCCATACCCGGGGTTCTGCTCCCTTCGACGTGGTGGAATGTGGGATACAGCGGGCATTGGGTTCGGCGGTTTCAAAGTACGTACAGGCCTACTTAACTTACCTCCAAGCTCGATCCCACGGCCAGCTTTAATTCTCCAGCTTAGCGTACACTCGGAACGAAACAGTGCACATGACCCCATTAATTTCTGGCGGCCCGGGGCTGTGGACATCGAACCTGGATATTGCGCGCCAGGTCGCCGCTGGCGGGCACAAGACGAGCTTTGTCAAGCCCGAGTTGGCTAGTGGGGCTTTTCTGTGAGCTGAACACGATGCTTTCCCGGTAGACCCAGACTTACATCGCGTTTACAGCCTCTGGGGGATGAATCTGGCTGCGGCGGATGGACAGATGTGGCGTAAGCACAGACGTGTTGTCGGGCCTGCGTTTGGCACCGAGCTGTAAGTTGTATCTTTTCTTTGCGGGGTGTAAATGTCGCTGATCTCGTTGGCCAGGTATAAATTGGTCTGGAAGCAGACTGCACAGACGTACGACGCCATGGTTCAAGCTGAAGGATGGACTGACAAGGACGTCGTGGATGTCCCCGTCGTACAAAGTTTAACCACTAAGGTGAGAATCTTCAGTTCGTTCTGTTCGTCGTTGAATATGTACTTATCTTGCGTAGGTCGCCTTCCTAATCATCAGCGCCTGCGGCTTCGGCTTCCAATCTACCTGGTTCGCACACTCATCATACCCTCAAATTCAACCTAACCCCGACTGAACTCGGATACAGGGAAACTCCAACTACAGACGCCAAAACCGGTGAAATGCCCGTGCAGGAGGCGCTTCGTGTGGTTGCAGAAACCCATCTTCTTATGCTTACCATACCTGAGTGGGCTTTACACCTTCCCATCCCGAGGTTAGTAGCACACGAAAACCAAATTATCCGTGCGGGTTGACCAGTGTCATTAGGTTCAAAAAAGCTCGGACGGCCCGCGACAGACTGCGAAGATTTATGCAGGAGCAGGTCACTGAGCGAAAGGCGGAGGTGGCCGCTGGTAATACACGCGCTGATGCATTCACGATGCTCGTCAAGGCGAACCAGGATGAGTCGGGCAAGTATCAACTGGATGACCAAGAGCTGGTATGTTTTCCTCAAATTTTACTCGCGCTCACGTTTACCAATATAACTAGATTGGGAATGTGTTCCTGTTCATGTTCGCTGGTCATGGTACGCTACTCGTTCGGAGCTCGGTGGCTTGGGTTGAATTTACTTTGATCTCACAGAAACGACGGCACACACGCTCGCTGCAACGCTCGGATTTATGGCCCTCCATCCTGAAGTTCAGAACGAGGTTCTGGAACAAATACTCGCCGTGGTGGGACGTGACCGTGCACCCGTATGCCACTCCCGTCATGTGTTCGCGTATGCATCAGCTCATCAAGGGGTAGGAATATGAGGACTACTCGAAGCTCGACAAGGTTCTGGCGATTTTCTACGAGTCTGCTCGAATGTTCCGTGAGTAGGCACCGGTATATCTAGGTGTTCGTTGCGTACTCAGATGGATCACCTAGCTGCTGGCCACGTTCTCATCCGTGAGGCGACGGAGGACACCGTCTTGAACGTGCCGAATCCTGTCGGCGAGGAGGGAACCCAGACTATCCCTATCCCGAAAGGCACACGGGTACTTATGCTCGTATCCAACTCTGGTATCGTCATTCAACTCCACGCAACAGGTCACTGTTGACATGATCGGCGTCCGTGCGTATTCTTCAACCACGGTAACTGAGCTGTGAATTAATGATAACAAATATTTCAGAGTACAACCCTCGGTACTTCGAGAACCCGGATGAATACCGACCGTCGAGATGGTACGGCCTCCCCAGCGATTCCGAGCTCTTTACGGCGTTCAGTGTCGGTAAGCACTTCACCTCACATTCCGATTTGAACGTACCTCACCATGTCGAACAATAGGTCCGCGCGCGTGCATCGGCAGAAGGTTCGCAACCATTGAAGGGACGTGTTTTCTGGCGCTCTTATTGCGGGACTGGAAAATCTCGCCGATCCTGCGTGATGGGGAGAGCCAGCAAGCGTGGGCCAAGCGTGTGATGAGTGCGCAGATCGTGTTGACTCTTGGGGTGGATGATGCTCCTCTTCGATTCGAGAGGAGGAAGTATTGAGCTACTGTACTTCATTCCTCAGCGTCGCGATATGCCTGGTTGAAGTTGACTGTTATTGTTCAAATATTCGGTCGGAGAGAGAGCACCTCGATCGAAGTTTTTTTTGTTATGTTTGGCGGAAAGATCAGTCGGGCTCGTTCTCAACCAATAAACATGATGCCGGGGGTAAATTGAACTGGGGCTGGACCTCCGGGGATACATGCGCGAGTTTGAGCTCGGGGATTTTGCGTTGAGGTGCCCGAGATATGAACCAAATTGCGCCGAGTCTAGTTTGAGGTTTCACGGCGATGGTACTTGTTCAAATACAAAAGATAATCCTTTTTTGCGCCTCGAAAGCGCTATTTCTAGTCGCTCAAAGGTCGGATTACCGTCGGAAACATGGTTCAAACCTTGCGAATTTAGCGGAACAACTCCACTAGGAAATCTCTAGTACAATTCGAGTCTATCCTGCCAACAAATCTCAACATGAAGGTCCCAAATATACCTTGGCCAAAATTCTAAAGATTCGGACTTGGAGCGACATATCCACACTCACCTCGCATACGAATCTTTAGAATTTTGGCCAAGGTATATTTGGGACCTTCATGTTGAGATTTGTTGGCAGGATAGACTCAAATTGTACTAGAGATTTCCTAGTGGAGTTGTTCCGCTAAATTCGCAAGGTTTGAACCATTTACTTGTTTCCGACCTTTGAGCGACTAGAAATAACGCTTTCGAGGCGCAAAAAAGGCAAAAGAATGATCAGAGTGGGATTCGAACCCACGCCCCGGAGGACCAGATTACAAGGGTGGATTGGAATCTCACTCTGTAAGTTGAACATCTGAAACGATGTGGATCCTTAGTCTGGCGCCTTAGACCGCTCGGCCATCTGACCGCGAATACTCTGCCAAGCAGAGCATCCATACCTGTGGTGGGGCCTAGGGACCAGCACTTGTGACCGGTTGTCGTTCACCAAGCGAATCGATGATCTGATGTGAGCATCGCAATTATCCTCCAGTGATATGGACAACGAGAAGAAACGCGGTAGGTGCGCTCAGGTGTGCGCCTAGTAACTGCCCGTCTACGAGTCCGGCAGGGGAGGTTCAAAGCCTTTGGATCGCAAATGATTTGTTATTACCATAATCGGACGCTGGCGTTAGTGCTCTGCTTTCGGGTTGATCTTCACCGCCACCGATGGCAGGTGTTTGCCGCAGAACCCCTTCGCACCGATGTCAGTGTCACTTTCGACACAGACTCCTCTCACACTCGAACCACCATGGCGTTTTCCGTCCTTGAACGTTTGCGCGTACCTTGGTTTGGCGTGGAGCTACAACCCGCAACCACGATTGTTCTCGTCTCTCTCGGCCTCATTACGCTCCGCAAAATCGCCCGGTTCCTCAAGCTATATCGTGTAAGCTGAGCAGCCCAGGCCTGTATATGCGTGCTGACTGCGCGGAAATCAGTCCGTTGGCTACTTCCCCGTCGCCCACACCGCCTTCCAGCCATTCAGCATAGTCGGAATCCTTTTCCCGACCACATCGTTGTCCACCGGATTCGACTGGCACTGGGTACGGCGTTTCCAGAGTAAGGCGCCTATCTCTAGTATCGCAATGGCTAAAATGATGGCCCAGCTTACAGTAAAAATGAAACGGTGAACCTTGTACCGGTGCTTTCTGGTATCCCTGGGTTGTGGACCTCGAATATCGATATTGGGCGTCAAATCGCGTCTGGCGGGAACCGCTCCAATTTTATCAAGCCACCAGGGTCCAATGCTGTCTTCTTGTGCGGTCATCTCAGACCCTCTTCTGGATACAGTTTTAACGACCTTGTGATGTCGCAGGCGTTGGGGTATGAACCTGGCTGCGTCCGAGGGTCTTATGTGGAGAAAACACCGCCGCGTCGTCGGTCCAGCGTTTGGTACAGAATTGTGGGACCTCCTTGCCGAACGGGAACCTGAGCTTACCTTGCCCAAAGATACAAACTAGTCTGGGAGAAGACAATGGAAACCTATAGGGACATGGTGGAAGTCGAAGGATGGAAGGAAAAGGATGTTGTTGACATCCCAGTGGTTCAAGACATTACTCTCAAGGTCAATATCCCTCACCGCTTTTGCCGATTGTTTCGCTCATGATTGCACAGTTCGCTTTCCTTCTCATCTGCACGTGTGGCTTCGGTTTTCCATCCACCTGGTACTTCCATTCCATTTCCCTCACACGTCACTTCATTTCAACTCACGATGTACGATATAAAGGGCCACTCCGCCCCAAGCTGCTGACGGAGGCATGTCAGTACAAGAGGCTCTCAAGATCGTGGCTGAAACTCAAGTGCTCTCGGTTGTCGTCCCCAAGTGGCTCATGTATCTTCCCATCCAGAAGTATGAGGCCATGCGATTTAAATCCTATCATATTTACCGAAGTACACACCCAGGCTCAGACACGCCCGCCTCGCCCGCGAGCGACTCGGCGGCTTTATGCAAGATCAAGTCGTGGAACGAAAAGCTACCGTTGCTGCTGGTGATCTCAGCGCTGATGCGTTCACGATGCTCGTCAAGGCGAATCAGGATGAATCGAGCAAGTACCAGCTTGACGACGCAGAGCTGGTTCGTTAGCAATTTTCTTCTCGCTCCGTGCCAACGTTCGTCCTTAGATCGGAAATGTCTTTCTTTTCATGTTCGCGGGTCACGGTATGTTCTCGCTCTTCTTAACCTTTTAGTTCCTCACCCTGTGATAGAAACGACGGCTCACAGTCTCGCTGCGACGTTTGGCTTTATGGCTCTCCATCAGGATATTCAAGACGAGGTCGTAGAGCAGATAATGGCCGTGGTCGGGCCCGATCGCGACCCTGTACGATTCAGCTGTTTCCTGCCACCAACGCCACTGCTAACATTCCTGGCAGCGCTTTGAGGACTATTCGAAGCTGGACAAGGTTCTTGCAATTTTCTACGAGGCTGCGCGCATGTTCCGTAAGTGCAGTGATACCTTGCGCTCCGCTGTGCCAGACTAACCAAATGCGAAGCGGCCGGTCACGCCCTTGTTCGTATGGCGGCGGAGGATACGGTCTTGACCGTCCCCAATCCCGTAGGCGAGGAGGGTAGCAGGACTGTTCCTATTCCCAAGGGTACAGAGGTATGTGCATGTCCGCACTATTCGTGAATTTTCACCCACTTTCTACCTGATCCCAGGTTATATGCGACATGATTGGCGTCCGTACGTATCCTCCCGTCTCTCCATAGCCAAACCTACCCGCTTATCTGGGACAGAGTACAACCCCCGCTACTTCCCGGACCCGCACATGTACAAGCCGTCGCGTTGGTACGGGCTGCCCCCGGACTCTGAGCAATTCACTGCATTCAGCGTCGGTGAGTAGAGACGCCGGCACCCCAGCGCAATGTCTCAGATCATGTACTAGGACCCCGCGCGTGCATAGGAAGAAGATTCAGCACAACTGAGGCTACGTGTTTGCTGACGCTACTTCTGCGGGATTGGCAAGTTCTGCCCATTCTTCGCGATGGGGAGACCAAGGAGGAGTGGGCCGCGCGCAATATGGACGGTCACATAGTAATAACGCTGGGGGTCAAGGATCTTCCCATCCGATTCGTGCGCAGGAAGCGCACATAGCTCCCGCGCACATGGATAGAGCAAACGTAGTTCCTGCGGACATAGATAGAGCAATCTAGTTATATCGATTTGTAGGTTCGCCATGTCATGAACGAGACGTTTTTAAGCAAAGCTAGCATATTATCGCTACAACGCGACCCACATCCAATCGACAGTGAGCAAACAAAGAGGGAAAATAAACAGGTTTACACGACGGAGTAGGTAAATTATGATACAGAAAGCGCATATTTAAGTCAATTGCAGGATGCTCCCATCGCCTAACGGACCGCCGGAGCCATCCATAGGCAGCCCCACCTCGTTAACCATCGTGCCCTGCCCACTCGTCCCCATCGCGCCTGGGGCCACTAACGCATGGGCCGCCGCCAGCCCTCCGTTCCGCGCAATCTCGTTCCTTACATTATCTAGCATCTTCTTCAACCCCAGCCGCTCATTCACCAACGCCATTCGCGCGCTCTCGAGGCCCTTGCGCTCATCCTCGAGAATATCCTCCAATTCCTCGAATTGCCCCATCTTGAGCTCGAGCTTCGTCAGCGTGAGCTTGATGAGCGATGCGAGCGTCGTGCGGATCTGAGAATCCTCGGCCTCGGCGAGTGCAGCGGCGGACTTGGCGGACGACTTGAGCGCGAGCTCCGCTGCGCGTACGGCCTGTGAGTGGGGGACCGTGTGCTTCTTGGACCCGCTTGGGGCCGAGTCGACCACCATGCCGTCCGCAGCAGGCGTCGCGGGCTTGCTCGACGACGCGCCGTTCGTGCCCTCGCGCTTGAACCCATCTCCAACCACCTCCTCCGCCTTGGCACCGGTCTTCTCCTCGCTCGTGAGGTGATGTAGGGCGGTCTTGGCTGCGTCGGCGGCGACACCGGGTGCGATGACGCCCGCGAGGAACGCAACAACGCTCATGACAGGGTTGTCCGCCTGCTCGAACGGGATGCGCCCGTGTCGCAGCGGGCCCATGCTCGCCTCTGTCGCGAGGTACGGGTCCTCGATCGGCAGCTCGAGGAACTTGCGGATGCACTGCTGCGCGGTGCGCGTCCCGACGTACTCCTCAATGCGCGACCAGTCGTCGTCGAACATCTCTACACCTTCGAGCAGTAGCAGCACCTCCGGGTCTGTCCAGTCATCTGGCGCCACCGCCGCTGCAGCGCTCGTAAGCTTGACAAAGTCGCCGCTGAACATGGTGGAAGGGAAGCGGCCGTCGAGATAGCACGGGGCGCAGAGCTCAAACTTTTTCTCCTTGAGGGAGTGGTAGCGGAGTTGCGTGCAGTCGGCGCCACACGTGTCGCACGTACACAAGCCAGTCGAGGGTCCCCGACTAACGCCATTAGCGGAGCCGTCGCGGTTGCCGTTGGCAAGTGCTTCGGCCTCGGCGCCGTCAATAGGGCGCGAAGACTTGTTGGAGGTCTGATATATGCTCGAGCGCAGTTCGAGAGAGGCGGGGGTTGGGGCGGGCTTCTTGGCACCGTTCACAGCTGCAGCGCCGGGATTCGTCGGACGAGTACCCGGATGCAGCGATTGGAGCCCGCGCGGGGTGTCGAGGACGACGCGGAAGTGGCCGGTGAAGGGCGGTGCGAGGGCAGCGGGACGCGAGTCGGGGTCGATCTGCAGAGGTGGTTGGAGCACAATCTCCGGTGTTGATGAAGCAAAAATACCTGGTAGTTTATGAGACCCCACTGCTCGAGGAAGGCGTGTACACGCATGATCGCGCAGACGTCTCCGGCCAAATTTCGTCGGCAGGCGGTGACGGTGAGATACTCCATGGGTCGGAGGCGGTAGGTGTTGATCATAAAGTCGCGGTAGTCCTTGTATATTGCGGGAGTTTTGGAGCGATTGCGCGAATTGAAAAACTCAGGCAGGGCGCGGCGCTCGACAGGATGGATTTTGGACATGTCGAACCAGGCAGAGTACGACGGAATGATGACCTCGTGTGTCTGCGCCGCGAGATATTTGCGCGCCTGGTCTTCGAGGCGCAACCGAGCGGCCTCGAGCTGCGCGGGGTCTTCGTCGTCGTTATCATCCCCAGAGTCCGCTTCGTCGTCTGCCCCATCACCCATCGACACATCGCCCCCGTCGTCGTCGTCTCCCAGCAATCTAACGCGACCACCGTTTTCTGGCCGACTGGGCCAGTCCTCGGACTGGAGGTTGGCCAGGTCAGTGGAAGTCAGTGGCTCGAGCTCGCCGCGTTTTCCATGAGCGGCGTTGGGGTCAACGGGGTAAGCGCCCTCGTCTGTCTCAGAGACGCTCATGCGCATCCGTTTGGCGTCAGAGGCGCCCGGCGACGGCG